TAGGTTTTGGTTCAAGTTCATCTGCAAAAAAAGATTTCACTTTGTTATATTTAATAAAGGTTACTTAAAATTGATTTCAAATTTAAAGATACAAACTCGATAATATGCGTATAGGCCAATCTTCTTTTTTGATGCCAGGTAAAAGTTTATTAATATTTCTAAATTCGGCAAATTCATCTTGTATTTCAACATAATAGACCATTTCAGGGATACTAAAAGTTGTCTCTTTAATAGTCATATTTAAAGAATATCTGTCTATGCTAAGAACACATTCTGGGCTTATGCATTTAAATCTTTGACGTAACACATACTCCCCATCATTATAAAGATAAATCGAGACATTTTTGTCCTTTAACTCGATTGGATGGACAAAAGTGATGTTTATCATATTTGTATCAATGTAAATGCTTTCATTCCATAAGGGCCAAGTTTTTTTAATATGAAGATTATTGAGCCTATTTGCTAAAAAAAAAGTGTAAATAGATTATTAAAAAATTTTTTTTTTTTTAAGAAATTTTCCAAATTATCAAAAAATATACTCACTTTCAGGAATAAACTGGGATACGTTTATAGATTGTAATTTCCATGTGTGCTCATCAATATCGGCTGCTATTATTAATTCTTCATGATGAAGGATCCTTCTAGCGCCTCCAGAATGAGAAGAAAAGTTCAAAGACCCTCCATAAAATTCTGATGTTATAAAATCATCATTAACGTTAGCATTAAATAATATCAAGTTCATTGAATTTGATGCTCGCAAGTAAAAAATTATCATGAAATCAATTATTGAGGACGGATATGCCACAAGGAAAGATTCATAATCAATATCAATTGTTAAAGTTTTTGTTTTGACTTCAAAATCATTATCTGAGGGTAAATAATCGATTTCCGCCAATATAAATCGCTGATTATTCGATAGTATCAAGCAAGAATATTTATAATGGATTTTCATATCAGCTACAGCTTTACATGTTGTTTGTATTATAAATGTTGATGTCTCTTGAGTTAAATTAAGACGGCTTAATTTATTTAATTTTGAGTCGGGTTGTATTAATATAAGATACGTTGGATTCAACCCATTGAAATAATTTCTATCATGGACGTAAGATATAATTCCATAACCTTCTTTTGTCGAAAATGAGCTAGCCGTATATACTATTAAGTTTGGTTCAAAAGTATAATTGCCTTCTTGATAAACAACAAATTGACCATCACTTTCCAATGGAGAAGATCCGTTAAAATAAAGTATATTTAAATTATAAAATATAAATTAAATTACTCACTCTTGATTGTAATTGTATTCTTTATAGAATAAATTATTTCCTTTGGAGACTAAGAATAATGATCTATTTTCATCGTAAAAATTATTTTGAATAATTTGTGGCGTTCCGATTTCAAAGTTCCCTAATGTAATCGTTGTATCATTCCAAATAATATTGTCAGACCAGTCTGCTATCACTACAGTGTATTGGCGAAGCTCATTTATGTAAATCATTAGAACATGATTTGCTTTAAATGGTATTATTGTTTTAACAAAACAATTTTGATTTATATATGGACACAGTTGGGTAAAAGCGTACAAATATTTTATAGTTTTGTTTGGATGAAGTAATCTAACGCTGTTAACAAAAATGGTGGAATTTCCATTAGTCATATCAGTATCCACACCTTCTTCTACCATTAGAATGGTCCCATCAGGAAAACGATCTATGACCAATTGATAGAATTTAGTTGGATATGTGCCGATATTTTTGAATTCTATTGAATAGCATGATAATGATAAAAGAACGATGATAACGGGAACGATGGTTATAAAGAAGATATGGCAATTTTTTGAATTCATTACGCAAAAAAATTAAGAATTTGATATTCAATGGATAATTTTATTTATTTATTTATTTATTTATTTTTAAGAAAATCCAATCGCATTTAAAATTCCGAAAATTTCCCAATTTGACTTTGCCGATTATTTATTGTACTCCAAACAAAATGTTCAATGGCAATTCAAAAAATAAAAAAATTTACATTAATTAGTAATTTAAAATTAATATATTAATACTTTAATATAACTTTAAATATAAATCATTTACCATTCAAAATATCAAATAAGTAATCTAAAGGGCAGTTATCAAATATTTATATAGAAAAATTTTGGCAAGTTTAATTATAGAAGGCATCTATAATAAAGTATTAATACTTAATATTATAATTTTTTATTGTATTTTTATTATTAAGTAATTTTCTTAATAATTCTTTTTTAATAATGAAAATTAACTGAAAATGCTTTATAAAATACAAGAGTACAATTTACATGGTATTTAATTAAGTATTAACCTTGAAGCGTTATCAGTTGTCAATGATCGAATTCTCGTCGGCCAAAAATTGATATTCGCCTTCAAAGATAATTCGCCGAAGAATTAAAAGAAAAAATTTATCGTATAAATGGCTGTGTTTTGAATGTGATATATTTATATTTTCATATAATTATAAAGAATTTTTGTAATTAATTATATTCTACCATATTATTGACGATAGGTGCTGCCTTCAAAGGAGTAGGTCTAAGCCATTGATATAGAATATGTTGGTATCAAGCCTTTAAATGGAACTGAGAAAGTATTGGTAAATAAATCTTTATCCAAGTTTTTTATTTATTTTTTTTTTTAGTATATATATTTTAAATCATTTTTAATCATAATATTACGTGCAAATAATGCTTCTCCGTGTCCGCTAGAAGCAAAAAATAACTTGAAGCTTTTGTTTATCACGTAGGATTTCATTGTAATTAATGAATACTAGTTAATACGGACGATCAACGCGCTGAAGTTTCATCAAAGTTATCTGAAACATATGATTGGTTATATGAAGAAGGCGAGAAAGCTGAAACTGATGAGTTAAGAATGAACGCTTCTCATAATCTCAAGTTAGTAGGATTTCTTTATATCATGTTTAATTAAATATCCTTATTTTATTTTATTTATTTATTAAAAAATTTATGTTACTTTAACAACCTATTGCATTTTGACGAGAAGAGCGCGATAAACTTCCCGGGGCAATTTTTAAAATCAAATCTGCTATAAAAGCACTTGTGCTTTTGTTGAGGAATTCAAAACGAAAACTACAGTCGAAAATCGTTAATATACAGACGATGAACTTAACAAATCATTAAATATAGTTGAGAAAATGTGGCTAAATGAAAAATAGTTTTACAAGAAAAAATACGACCTCATGTTGTTCCAATTTGACTAATATAGATATTGAAAAAAAGATTAAATGGAATGGAAAGTGAATTATTACTTTTGATTCCTAAAAAATCTAATAGAATTTAAACAACAACAAAAGCGTTATTATTAGATAGAAAACATCGAAATAATCAAAATAAAAAGATAATTTTTAATTTTAAAAAAAACATAAATAAGAAAAGAAATATAAATTATATTTAAAAACAAAAATCCCATAAAAATCAGAAAAAAAAAATTATTGCTACATGAAACGATTGAACCCAAAAAATAACAACGGAATATAAAGTGAAAATAAATACAAATAAATCCTTATTTAACTTTGCGAAAGTGACCCAACTCGAAAGAGGAACCTGAAAAAGTAGATAAAATATTTAACATATTCGATAACTGCGCCACTAAGCGAAACGTAAATAAAAACAAACCTTTTTTTTTTAAAAAAGTATCTTACCTATGCAACCTGAGAAATACGTTTTAAAAGAAAAAAAAACACAAATAATAAAAATAAAAAGCACAGACCGACCATCAGACACGAATCTGATAATTCAAAAAAGCAACTTAAAAAAATTACCTATCACATGTAAAATAAAATCATCCTATCACAGCTGTCTGGATTTGAAACTTCAAAAAAACCAAAGAAAATTATAAAGAAAGTTACTTTTAATTAGATTTAGATTTCAAAAATTCTTTTTAAGCAAAAACGAGAAATAAATTGAGCCTTCATTAGTATATAGGGATGGGAACGGTTCAAAAAGAGCGACTAAGTCGGTTCTGGAACCGATTCTAAATTCAGCATATACTGAATTTACTGAATTTACCCGAGTTACAACCATAATGTTTGGAGTGTAAAGATCCGTAAACTTCACACCACGTCATATCCACTGATGCACCATTAACAAATTCCATAACAATAATATATTCTCCAAGTTCCTCTTTATTTCCAAATTATAACATTGTGAAGCCAACCATGCCTGATACAGCGATAATAAAAGATGGTACACAGTAAATTTCTCATCTCGTTCAACCTATATATATGTATCGAGAGTCGCAATAACATATGAAATTTAGCATAATAATCAGTGTATGAAAATTAGAATGTATTTTTTCCTGAAACCAGTTAACCGATAATAATATTTCTAAACTCAACCGAAGGTTTGTTATACAAACGCGTAAAAACTTCGGGGATGCACTAAAGTTATAAGAAATCAAAGTGCAAGACTGAGAAGTAGTGAAATAAACAATGCCTCTTACTTACGAGAGGGGAGTAAGCAATGATTCAGATATTTTTATCAAAATTTTCATTAGCGAAAGACCGTCAATTTGCGTCATTGGAAGCGTCAACTTTATTATGAGCTCGACAGCACTTTCATAAAGTGGGATGTACGCCTTCTAAAATACGACATCCCGTGTATTAACCTTTTTTTTATTTTTATTTGGGATCTATTTATGGAATCACCTTGTGCTATCAACAATCGCGGCTTCGAAGATAAAAACATTAAGCTAACAAATGTCGATGTAAATTATTAATTGACACATAAAACGACTATATAAGCCAAATACTATAAAAACATATCCTATAATTTAAGGGATATCTATCCGCTTAATTATTTGAGGTTCTGAAAATTAATTAAACTAATTCACAGTACATGGTTTCCTAGCAATCATTCTGAAATACGTGATATTCCCTCGTTCCAACTTTGATTATTACTACGGAACATTACATGTAGAAGGTTTATTATTTTCTACTTTTTTGCGCTAACCAACAATTTCAATTTTTTTTTTGGTTTAGTCAATATGAATAACGAAAAAAAGAACTTATGAAATTTAAATATTCAAACCTAAATCGGATTGGGTCCTTTTCTTTCCTTAGGCACCTCTTAGTTTGCGCAAGGATCAAGTGAGTCAGCCTTTTTCGAGTTGTTCACCTTCGCATTTGTTTTTTTTCAATCGCTGTGTATCAATCAAATTTATTTTTCTGATTTTTAACATAATTTATTTTCTTTTATTAATTTAGGTTTTTCTTTTTATATTAGGTCATTTCATTATTACTTTTTTTTTTAATCATTCCCACCAATCTAATAATAACGTGAGCGGTCAAAAGATTTTGTCATAAAGTTCTTGTTAGATAACCTTTCGAAATTATTGATCTTTCATATCATCAGAATTCCAACTTCAAATCCGATACTTTTGGGAAGGATCAGAACTTTGCAAATCAAAATATAAATAATTTTATTTAAAGTACTAGTCACGTGGATCTAGAAATAATCTTTTTTTTTTGTTAGTTATTATATCCATAAAATTTAAATACTCCATGATTCACCTTCTTTTCACTGTTTTTATTTATTTTAAAAAAAAAGCTTAGCTCTTATAACAACTCGAAAGATAATGATAACGCCAGTATTGTATAAAGCTTTTATTTTTTAATTTTTTTTATTTTTATGTCTGAGAAAAAGTCAAGACATATTTTTAGAGAAAGTGAGCATTTTTAACGAAAGGTGAGTTTTTTAACACCTTAATATTTGTTTCATTGTAAGGTGAACGAACAGTAATATGTAGGGTGTGCGGTACTGCAGATTCGTATTATCATACTTACAAAATCTGAGAAACACTTGTCTTGTGTGACCTCTTCTCCCTATATTATATTATATTATCTAGTTTTCATTATATGTATCATTTATAATTATCAAAAAGCGTAATTAGCAATTTTATATAAATAGACCTGTAAGTTGACCTTGAGTCAACAGAGTTCGATCAGATAGTTTTCTGAATAAGTCTTGGGACTAGACTTATAACTCTACAGTTTAATAAAGTTACTATTTTACACTTTCAACCTTCTTCTTGTCTTCATCATAGGATTGATCGTGATAACCTACTACACAAGTGAATCGTGATAATAAATTGTTTTGTTTGATAATTGTTAATTTCTCTTAGGAAAGGCCTTTGAGATAATTGTGTTATTAAATTTATTAATTTTGTTAGCTTGGTTTGAGACGATTCCAGGTCTAACACCGGTTAAAATAGATGAATATAATTCCGGTCGAAATCCAATTTCTGATCCATAGTTTTCGTAGTCATGTTATTAAGAGAAATGGAACCATTTTGTTAGTTTGATATAAAAGATTTTGATATAAGAGTACAAAATTCGTGGTAACAATGTATAATTCAACAACAAAGTATAATTCTTTAATGATAAAATTATAAAAGAAACAAGTCAAAAAAAGAGAATAAATTTTTTATGTTTACCTTAAACTGAATTAAATGGATGGTTGTGTTTCATCGTCAGAATCTTCCAATTTGGCCACAGATTTCTTAAGTGTCATACAATTAATTTATTCAAGATCAATGTTGTGACTGAAATTGATTTTCGTCTGAAGTTGCGATCTTCGAGTATCTGAAATTGAGATTCGAAGATCAGTTAACGAACTCGTGACTTGTTTTGATAAAATACAATTGCCTTTTCGATGTCAGTATTTTTGTATGTTTTAGGTTGTAAACTTGGATTGTTTAAAAGATCACGAGAAGTATTAAATTTTACGGTCTTCTTTGATTTCATTTTTGAGAAATAAAATTAAAAAAGAAAAAATTTAAAGATGTACTTTTACGTCACAATAACTGTGAATCACAAATTCATGTGAATTTTCTTATCACGGGCGTTAGTAATCGGGAAATTTAATAGTTATTACCGCTCAATCGCCGACATCATCAGGGCTGATGATATCTCTGATTTCGCGGTAAATAACTAATACAAATTTCCCTTGGTGGTAAAACATCCTCGTTTTTTTCTCACTTAGCAGATAATGAATTTCGTATCCGGTCGGAGAATTCGTAAAAAGACCTAATATTATTGATCCCAATATATTGTATTGGAATTGGAGAAAATATATTAATAGTCATTCAATCAAAAAAAGCGATGCACTCAAAATAAAATAGCATACAAAGTTTCATTGAAAGAATAATATATTTTATTACAGAATTGGTGATATGTTATTATACATTTTGTTTATTTATTTTTTTGACTTGAAATATTTCATGTTCTTCTATAAAAAAGTAATCTTGTGTTTTTCTAATTTTTTTTTTTTCATAAAAATTATTTATACAAATATTTGGTCAAAAAAAAGCATATCCATGATGATGGACCACGAGTAAACCAAGCTTTATAGCATTTCGTCATCGTTTGAATATAAAACTTTCCTTTATAACGTAATATGCTTGAGGAAATTCCTGAAGGTTTTCCATGAAAATAGAATTATACCTTCGTCTCTACATTTTTTTGTTTTAATGACTAAACCGAAGAAAGTTTTGGATTTTGAGCGAGTCCCATTTTAGAACATGTTCCCAAACAAGTTCAATGGAATTAAATAAATTTACTGGCTCTTTTAACATAAATTGTTACAAAACTTTTGAAACTCTAAGAAAGAGCCATTTTAAAACTCGTCTGTTAAAATTCTTTTTCAATCAATCTACTTTATTTTCGATCAAAATAATTGTATATTTCTTGAATACTATTTCAGCAGCCAAGATATTAATAATATCTGAAATATAATATCCCTCAAAGAAAGTCTTGTTCCGTAAATATACCTTTAAAATAAAAAAATAAATTAAAAATTTAAAAATGTTTTTAAAAAAGCTAAATAAATCCTCATATATAAAGTTACCTCAAGATTACATGAAACTTTCGTAGAATATTTGGTAATTTAATATGTACTAAAGTTCTTTTC